GGCCTGGGGAGCTGCTTCGCGGAGATAAGAGATGATAGGGTATCCGAGATCACATTCCCACACTCTGAATTTTCCAATAATGCCAAGAGTACTGACCTAACAATTAACTGTGTTGCAAAGGGGGCCTCTTCACCTAGCCCAAAGACAAACAATGCATTTCCACAACAAAGAATACTCAGAGAGGCAAGGAAATGCCTTCAAGCAACTACTACACACCGTGCAGATAACAATACAATAGCTGCTAGGTTCTTAAATAATGATTCTTCATCAGCGGCAGCAATTTCAGAGAAAGATTCCAAAATCCCTCATTGTATTGAATTTGCCACGGATTTGCCCTCTTTACAAACTGATCCTGAGGAGGATGCTGCTTCTCCAGGGGCAGCAGCAGCAGCTGAGCTCCAGTGCACTGATACAGGCAGTAAGGCATTGCCATTCCTGCACAGCATTAAAATCAAAACAGAGGACAGCAGTGGGAACGACGAGTATGAGCCTGACCTTACAACACATAAGCTAAAGTGTGAGTGCAATGATACTAAGGATGAGTTTTACGGTGTGACTGAGAGTAATAACCAGGACGCTTTATTAACAGCCAAGGAAGATTCTGCATGCACTGAGAAAGAAACCACTTCCTTAAACCCGCTGACTCAGAGTCAGGTCCTCTCATGCACTTTAGGTACTCCAAAACCTGAGGATGGGGAGTATAAATTTGGAGCGAGGGTGAGAAAAAATTACAGGACACTGGTTTTGGGAAAGCGACCTGTACTGCAGACTCCTCCAGTCAAACCAAATTTGAAATCAGCTCGAAGCCCACGTCCTACAGGTAAAATCGAGACACATGAAGGAACACTGGATGATTTTACAGTTAACAATAGACGCAAAAGGGTAGCCAGCAATGTAGCATCAGCAGTGAAAAGGCCATTTAATTTCATGGCAAATTTTCCCTGTCCACCGTCACTAATTATTGGCAATGATGGGGATTTGTTGCCAGCTTATTCCTTAAACACCACTAAGGATTCCCAACCACCTCACAAGGCCCATCCTGTGTGGAAATGGCAGCTGGGCGGTTCTGCAATACCTCTTCCACCTAGCCACAAATTCAGGAAATTTAATTAATAAAATAGTTTGAAAAATATTTTCTTGAACCACCTTTAACTTTCTTACGTTTTTTAAACTCTGCAGGATGGTTTGTATAAGCCCATTAATGCTATACACACTTTTGGAATCCTGTTTTATCACATTGTGAAGACAGAAACCGGATTACTGTTTTCTTTACCATTACAACAGTGGTTTTTTTTTTGTTTTGGTTTTTATTTTTTGGTTCTGTTGTATTTGATGGTTGGGGTTTTTTGTTTTTGGTTTTGTTTTTGTTTTTTGTTTTTTTTTTTTTTTTCCTACATTCCACAGAGTACTTCAGGCTAAAGACTCAAGTTAAACTCAGTTATTATGGTAGAGCTGGAACACTTTACTGTTTAAATGCTAATAATGCACCAGTACCTCAATTCAACTGCTGCAAATAAATGTCAAAAGGTTGAATAATAAATATTAGAATGAGCCATTAAATTTATGCACTAGATTTCGAAAATGGAAGTCTAACTGTTAATTCAGTTAAAGTTTGTTAAGTTACATGGTTGCACAGTAAGGGTTCACTATAATTCAATGTGGCAGCAGCCTACTTTTCGGGAGCTTTGTTTTCGGGTGCAGGGGTGTCTTTTTTGCAGAGCAGTTGCACTTACTCCTTTTTCTCTGGTTTGGAAAGGCTGGGGTCGGCCTGCGACCCCAGCTCTGGGAAAAGCTGCCTCATCTGAAAACAGTAAATAAATGTGGAATTCTATTTTTGGTAAAAGGGTGTCTTTTTACTTGTACAGCCACTCTTTGCAATTGGGAAGCCTTTTTCTTTCACTCAGAGGTCTTAAATAAGGTTACTGTTACCCACTAATGTCATACTTAAGTTGTGGTCTGAACATGCCCCTTACAAACTTGCAAAGCAACTAAAATATTTGCCTGGCTAGCAGTACAATTTATGGTCCAGCCCCTCACGCTGGCTGGAGGAAATAGCAAAGCAGTAAATACAACACAGAAAGTGAAACGAGAGGCTGTGAGTGGAAAGAATACAACAAATGAGAAGACCATGTTATTCATAGTTTTTTGGCACCAAAACTCAGGCGTTTCAACCGTGTTACACTTCCCGGTTCTATCCTCATCCCTTGAAATTTGTTGTCGTGGGTTTTTTTTGCCATGCCATCCTCTCTATGTAGCAGAAACATTTCTACTGCACGTGACAATCAGAGGCAATTATCTATATTTGCACTTAATATCGAAATAGTCGAACAGGCAGACTTCTAGAGTCTGGCCCTCGGTAAGACATGCTGGTATAATGTATTGTGATGATGGAAGCAGTAAATCAAAATTATGGAAATTTGCACTGTTGAAAAGCATGCTTTAGCTTTATTTTCAATTAAAAACACTGTTTTAAAAAAATCCTGATTCCATACACTTTGAATTATTGCAGAGTTATCCGTGGTTTCCTCTCCATTTGTAAGTTCACTGTTTTTATTTGGAGGAAATACGCTTCAAGAGGTTAACTGTTTCCCTCCCTCCCCCCAACCCCTAGAAAATAAAGGGAAGGGGAAAAAAAAAAAGAAAGGCTGAAGGCCGAGGTGGAAGCAGAGCTGAGGACGGGGGAAGGTCTCTCTTGCGGGGGGGGGAGGACGGGTGCAGCAACTCTGAAAACAGCCTGAAAAGTTTGCAGCTCGAGAAAGGCAGTTATAATTGAGTTGCTGAATCAGCACAGTTTAGGATGAATAATTGCTGGTTTCTTTCTTTGGATTAGCATTTTATTTATACTAGATCATTTCCAAATTAAATTTTAAGGATTCCACTCATCGATCAATCCCGGGAGAATAATTTATCGTAAATCAAAAAAAAAAAAAAGGAAAACAAAGCAACAGTGTAATGTTTACTGTGTGACTCAAAGTCAACATTTCTGATGGCAATCCACTGCCTGGGTTTCAATTTTTTAATTCCTGCCTTTTGTGATGCCCTCTCCCAACCCCTCGTGTCTCTAAATATTCCAAGCAGTCACTAACTGATTTCAGCTCTGTTTACTATATCCACACCGTAGTTTTCCTCTCATTGTAAAAGGCCTGGTCTAAGAATACCTGCAGCCAAATATATTTAGAAAGAGTAAACAATTGCCTTTCAGTGGTTACCCTTCCCCCCCTGCACGCACATGCACACGCGCACACACACACACACACACACATCACTTTAAACTGCCAATTGCAAAAGGTGCATTGCATACTTAACCGCTCTGCTGAAATTACGATGGTCATGAAAAATCTGCTTAGTGAAGTTGTTCTGAGATGAATGTTTACATTCGTATGTTTAGAGCTGCACAGATTACAGCCTTATTTCCAGAGATCTGTAAATACGTACAAAATGTAGTGCTCAGGAAAGCCCCCATCTCTGTTAGAAAGCTGTGCCTGCTTGACAAAGGTCTTCCTTGACCAAAAAAAAAGAAAAAAAAAATTAAAAAAAAGCCAAATCCAAAAGCTACAAAGGTGCAATATGCAAACTTGAAACCTAAAATTTCGCCTTGTCAATTAAACAACGTATCACTTTCAAAGTAACTCTGTCCCCTGACCCTGTTTACTTCAAATTAGAGATATGCTGATTTGACCAGGAATTGTAAATTACAGAGGTGCCTTTTCAGGTTCCCGAAATAATCCTGTGGAGGGGGGGAGGGGGAGGAATAAGCATAAATTTATACCAAATAGGCTCTGCAGAGTTGAGGATGTGAAATATGGTGCCCAGCCCTGCCAGCAGCTCGGGAGCTCCAGGCCTGGGAGTGGGAGTGGGCAGGGAGCGCCCCAGGCCCGGCACCCACCGGGCCTCCCTGGCAGGCTGCTCCACTGGGCCCTCCTCTATGCAGGCAACATCAAAAGGCAAGAAGTTAAACAGCCAAATAATTTTCACACGTGTACACCTCAGTTTAGTGCAAGCCACTAATAAGGACATTCGCGTTTTTACTGCTGTTGGAGAAATTAACCAGGTACAATAACTCACTCGGGGGAAAAAAAAAAAAGAGGGGAAAAAAGGTATTATTTCCAATTCTGGTAGTTTGGTAACTGTTTCTGATGGCATTGTAACTATAATTGCAAGCAGAGTTCATTGTCATTTCAGCCTTAATAATATAAAGTAATATAATTGAGTTAAGTATAAATAACTAATTTTCTCCCATAAAGGTAAGTTCTAATAATGAGGAAAAACAAAGGTTTTTCTAGTGAGCCAGGTTACCGTTTTGTTGCAATGTTTACAGGAGATAAAACTTTAAATGTATTAGTAATGAATTGCCACCATTTTCCAATTCCTGGTGTACACGAAAATCAACACAATTTTCTAGATGAAAAAGCAACCGAGGGAAGTGTGTGTACTTTACAGACTATACTCCATAGGTATGTGGCACAAGTAGAGTTCATCAGTAAATTTATTGGGAAGATTTCTGCTGACAGATGGAAGACAAAGTTTTGGACTATGTTTAATTCTCTAGAGCATTAAAAAGGGAACATGTGTAATGCCTTCAGCAACGAGGTGTATTGCCTTAAAAGATGTAACTTGCCGTTTACAACAATTTACTTTAACAAGTGATTGTTCTATAACTTACACTTACTTGACTACAGTGGGATAATCTCTTTACTGGTTGTTTGCTTGAAAAGCCACTACTAGCAATAATGCAAAATAGTGGTAGCTGTTGTATGAAGTTTGCTGTTCAATCAATTCACTTGGTGATTTTTTTACGTGGTCTCTGATCTTTTTTCCTCTAACAGATTTAGTTGCCAATAAATTAAAGTTTCTGCAGAAATGAGAGCAATGCTATCATGTTTGTGTTTGTTACTGTTAACAAGTGTGAGTGGTTGAGACAGAGAGGGGTGAAAAACTGGCATTTTCAACACACCGCGGTAATCTGCAGGAATATTCTACATATGCAGTACGTTAGACAACATGAAACATGGATAACGTTGTTAATTGTGGTTTTTATGGTTAAGAGGATTGCTGGAAAGAATATGTAATGGCTCATCCTGGGATCTATTTGGTCAGCTCGGAAGTACAAAAACAGGGTGAGCGCCTGAAAATGAAAAGCAATGGTTAGCAAAATGAGGGAGGCGTTGGGATCTACCTTGCTAAAGTCAGGCTTGCAAGACACTACCCATTCCCCTGGCATTTAGCCCCACAACTGCACTTAAAGCACGGTCCAACATCTCCTGGGCCGAGTGCAGGGCTCCTGGCTGCAGGGTGGCCGGGTCTCGCTGGCGAGCGCCGCAGCCTGCCCGAAAACCTTTCGGGAAGGGACAGCTAACCAGTTTTAGGCCTTCCACGTTGCGTTTTTTCACTGCTCTGATATAATTATTTGCCGTGCCCTAGGCCCCTCTCTCCCCTCTCCCTTTCACTCCGAGGCGGCCTCACAAGCCCCCGCTTTAAAAGGCCCGAGATGTTTTGCATGAAGCGCTCACAATAGGGGTTGAGAGAATTGACAGTTTCAAAAACAAGGCGCCCTGTCCTTTCCAGATGCCGAGGACCCCTCTCCCGCACCATCTCTCGTTTGCTCCTCGCTGCTGGTGGCTTTATCCTTAGCATTGCAAATATACGGCAACAGCTGTGTTTGTAAAC